TCATTTCAGTACAGCGTTGCATGACAGAATAAATGTCAGTCAAAATACCGCAGCGCTGAATACTGAAAAATGGCCTGGATGGGAAGGGGGTTTAACACCGTGGATGTCAACTGGTTAAAGCTGTTAAATGCATTTTGCCTTTAACTTTTTGATTTTCCCTAGTAATTTAAGGTATATATATATAGTGAGGGACAGTTGGGTGCTATGTGATATTAGTCTACAATATAAGTCCCAGATGTCTTTGTAACTTGCAGAATTTAAAGATTTAATTGAGCAAACAGGGTTCCCACAACACAAGGTAATTCATTTATGTGTATACAGTATATCTGATTCAGTATGTATTAGGTATGCTTTCAAATGTAAAGGGATACATTTCTATGCACAGTATAATAAGCAGAGATATGTCATTTTGCAGTTCAGTTTAAAAAAATAAGTGTGTGATCTTCCTGAAAATACTGTAAAGAAACAAGAAAAGCAGAATTTTAGAATAATGTTTATTAACCTATGCACAGGGTGTACATTTTCCAGACATTCCAAGAACTGTACAAGCTAAACCAGGACAAAGATTATTAAAGTGTTTGCTTCATAATAAAGACATTGATTTAAATCTGTTTATTTTGGAGATATGTAATATTTTGGCTTTTTTTAAATTTGCAGTACAGTTTCCTTGTTTCCATTCTCTTCTCATCTCACAATTTTGCTGTTTATTGGTTTGCACTATTATAAAAATTCACACAATAAAAATAACAGGACTTATGTATTTGAACTTTGAAAATAGGCCTGTCAGCCCTACACATATCATCCAAACTGTTCTCGAAAGATACTGTTAAAAAGATATTTGAAAATAAGAGTTCATGATGTGAATCAACTCTAAAAGAAAAAAAAAGAAAACAGGTAAAGAAATGCTTAAAAGGAGCCTCAGGTAGAAACTGTTGTTCATTGAGTCTTAAAGGAGAACTATGGGGTAAGTGTTTTTCCCCATAGTTTTCCTAAGGGTCACGGGAGGACATAAACTAGTGTCCCCCCGTGACCCAAAGCTCAGTATATCGCGAGCTACAGCTAGCAGTATACAGAGACCGCCGCAGCCGGGACAGATCCCGACATTACTGTTGAAATCCACCCAGCTGCGTGAGTGACAGCTGGCTCTGCCTATCCAGAGGCAGAGCCAGCTGTACCACCCCCTCCCCTGTCCATTCCTCCAGTCAGCGCTGGAGGATCGGAGAGGGGAGAATCCCTGCAGGGAGCAGTTAGTGACAGTCACGGCTCTCTGCAGGGAGATGATCGAGAAGTGAGCGAGCGACGGTATGTGTTCTCTCACTTCCCGATCTATTGAGCCGACGTGTGACAGTTTCATTGTCATACATTGCCTCTAACAATGAGGATGAGTGACTTTCACTCACCTCATAGTTCTCCTTTAAGCATCATAGGTGGGGAAAATAATCTGTTTAGATTCAATAGGTTAAATTCATGAAGCTTTACACTAAGAAAAGTATCTTTATTTTTAGCCCTGTGACTGTAATTTTCAATTGCAGAACATAACTGTCACTTTATCCTGATGTTTTAGATTTGTGAAATGTGCCATAACAGGTATGTAGCTCTGAAATGGGGAATAATTAAAAGTCAATAATGCAGGACTTCAACTCTGCACCAAAAGGGAAAACTGCAATGAAAATAGCAGGTGGATCAATCTTGGTTTGCGGATGTATGTGTTGTTCATAGTTTGTTTATGCCCCGTTCACATTGAGCGATTTATCACGCGGTAATTCCCGCGATATCGCGGCAAATTACCGTGCGATATCGCACTCCAATGCATTTCAATGGGGCAAAGGGTCCTGCTGTCACGGGTCGTGTGTCGCTACAGCAGGACCCTTTTTGGAGCGGATTTAGCCGCGATTCAAGCTTGCTCAATGCAAGCTTGAACCCGATATCGTGCGGCAAATCTCGCGATATCGCGCAATATGCAAATCGCGCGACAAACGCGCGATTTGCATATCCCGCAGTGGGAATGGGGCCTTAGGTAACAGATTTACTAAAAGGATCTAGGTAATACAAAAATCCCTGATTAAGGGGACACTGTTATTGACCCAAAATGCATGCCTATACACTCAATGAACAAGGGAACATTCCTAATTGAGGGTGCTCAGCCCACATTTTGTCATTGAGATTTGTCTCTCTAGTACGGAGTATATCACTCACCATATAAACTGTGTATATATCATTAATTCATGTATTTTTTATAATGTAGAAATAACTACTTTATCAAACTGCAAAGTCCTGCCCAGTTAGAGCAAAATCCAGCTTGAACTGATCTGATCCAACTGTGATCCACTTATGACGAGGGTAGCTGAACTAATTGCATCAGTGGTGGAAAGGATTTGCATCCAGCAGTGTATTTAGAACTGGTAGCCTGAATGAACAGGTCTCTGCATTGTGTATGCTTGGATAAACAGAGCATGGTGAACATAAATAAAAGGTTCACCGTATGTTTTTATTTCTTACGCCTGCTTCATGGGATAGGCTTTATGCCTATCTGGATTGTTTAAAAGGCAGATTTTGCCGGCAAGTCGTTGGATTTAACACATGTGGTCTATCTGTTAGAACAGTCTTATTTTAATTCTCCAATCTAAGCTTCACAAGCCCTATTAACATCAACATGTATTGCAGTGCACTGCGCTGCCGACAATGTAGCAGGAGCTATTTTTGATCCCTTGCTGTGCGTAAGATGGCTCTTTCAAAAGAATGAACTGCCTTAACGCAATCCATGTTAATGCCACAATATTATTATTGTACAAAGGTGATCCTGTCAATTAGGAGGTTACTTTTTCTTGGAAAACCCATTACAGCCCAAATTAACTTTTAGTTTAAATGAGCTAGATAAATTCCAGGTACATCAAAATAAAAGGTGTTCAATGTCTTAAGGTTTCATCTTGCAAAGGTTGTAAAGTAATTTTAAAAACGTACGATCTGCCCATCTTGAACAGGCAGATCGTACTTGCGATCATCCCAAGCCCGTCCCGCTGAGGGGCGGGCTTTCCGATGACTGCAATGCTGAACGGGTAGTGTGCCGTGTGCACACCGGCCCGTTCAGCAGTTGTCGAACAAGCACGTCCAGCCTGCTTGTTCGACGGAAGACGTGCGATCGTACAGTAGAAACGGTCGCACGACTTCCATACACTTTGCGATTATCGTACGATCGGGGGATTACACGAGATTATCGTACGATAATCGTACAGTTTATGGGCACCGTTACAGCAGCCACAGCGTGTCCACTTACCAGCATGCTGTAGAGTAGGATTATTGCTCTCTGAGTGGAAGCAGCAGGCCGACACACCCCCTGCTGATGCAGACTCATAGCTCTTTAATCATCAGTAAAAATGAATTTTGCTTATTGCAGAGCTATAGGTCGGATTCAGCAGGGGGTATATTGAACCTCTGCAGATAGACGACTGCTTCCACACAGAGAGCATGGAACGTTCTCTACAGATTGCTGGAAGGGAACAAGCTTTTCTACAGAAAATAGACTGTTAGGCCTTGTCCTCATGGGCATCTGCTTGTATGAGAGCAGTGCATACAGCAAAGTTTGCATAGCTTTAGGCCAGCTTTTCCATAGGATTTGAAATGCTATCAGCAAGCTAAGCTGACTGCTTTGTTGAAGCGTCAATTACAGTTTTGCAATGTTAAACATGAATCTTAATGGAAATGCAAATGCTTTTCATAAACTTGCTGTATACCATGCCCTTAAGCAAGCTGAATTGTGAGCAAGGCCTTAAGGTGCCCATACACTGCTCGATTCTCGTACGAGAATCGGGCGAAATCCAGCGATCGTACGAGAATCGAGCAGTGTGAACGAAGACGTGCGGTTGCACGTCTTTTGTCGAACCAACATGCTCGAAAACCCGTCGAGAATCGTACGATTGTCGGCGGGTTTCTAGCCTGCTCGTCCGATAGCTGCGGAACGGGCCGGTGTGCGCACGTGCACACTGCCCGTTCTGCATTGCGGTCTTCGGAAGCCCGCCCCTCAGCGGGGTGGACTTTCGATGATCACAAGTACGATCTGCCCGTCCAAGGTGGGCAGATCGTACAAGCTTTCAATAAGCATACTACCATCGCAAGACAAAAGTCTTGCGATGGTCGTAAGGTGTATGGGCACCTTAAGACTTTGAACACCTTTTGTTTTGATGCACCTGGAATGTATTTCGTTGATTTAAGCTGAGTGTTTAATTAAGCATTCAATGTTAATCTGTCATTTACTTTTAGTGTAGAGTTGATACGGCTTGTGAAATAAAGATACAGCAGTCTTATTTTGTTTTCCATAATCCTGTCATGTCCTGTTATTTCAATTTACAGGGGAATTTTCCCATAGCTTAGTGAATTAGGTGAAGCTTTGCTGACTTCCATCATCCAATCAAGTGCAAACAAAATTGCTGCTTTTTTCCTTGCACATAATTGGGTATTCTTTGCAAAGTGTGAATTTTCACCACATTTACAAAGCTGAAGGAAAGGTCGCTTGCAAAGTGGACATTTCCTGGCAAAGTGAACAGCCTTTTTGCCATTATTAAATCAACCCCATAGATTCATGTTATGGAAGCCCTTGACAGTGTAAGTGGGCAGTTGGAGTCAATGACAAACAAAGGACATGTTCACGCTGTACTATGAGATTTTGGGTGCCAAAAAGCATGTATTTACAAAAGAAATTCAGCTGTATGATAACATAATAATAACATTTACATGTTGATTAAAAGACATTCTTTGTTAGATATTGTGGATATGTTTTATCAATAAGTCTATTTTACATGATATATAGTTCTAAAATCCTTCAGTTGTCTGTATTAAAAGTTAAACACTATAATCTATCTCCATAAGCATAGCATGTTTACTTTGGTTAACATAACCATAAACATGCTTCCGAAGACTCCAAAGGAATATTCCTATGTTGTTCCCATTTAAAGTGGGGAGAAATAAACATATTTCTTAAGGTATATATTTGCAAAAACAAACAGTTATTCAATATCTCCTTCTCCATCATCACATACGAGGCCTTGCATTTCCTTCTCCGGCAGAAGCCCATATTCATTAAAAAAGGCCTCCACATCCCCAGCAAAAAATTCCTCACTGAGATTTTCAGTAACATTGATGAAGTTACTGATGAGTTCACCTGCCTTGTAGACTAATATGGTAGGCAGGACATCTTTAGAGAACCTTTCTCCAGCTCCTGTATCAGCTGACCTAATTTTACAGAACTTCACTGTTGGATACTCTAAAGAAAGACAGGTCAAACTGTTATTCAGTGGCTCACAAGCCTTGATCTCATCAGAAAAAATATGAACTATAACTGTAGTGCTCTTTCGTTCCTTTTCAATTGCTTCTAAAAATTCATCCCCACTTTTCAGCTCACATAAGACCCCATATTTGGGACCAAAGCTCAGTCTCTGGTGCATGTCCTGCATACATTGCTTGCGGTATTTCTGTAAACAGTGTTCATCTTCTTTGTCCTGGGTTAACTCATATTCTTGCATACTCATCTGGAGAAGAAGATATAATAGAAAGAATGTCATTCTAAAAGTCCTCACTTTGATAAGTGTATTAAAGCCCAATACTCCTGATGCCCTCCTGTATAAAAAAGATACATAATTTTCCCAAACATTAGTCATCTTCAATAACATCCTCCATGGTCCAGTGTTGGTTCTCTTCCAGGTTACCTGAGGCCTAGCATCATCTAACTGACTTCCTATGAACCCAGAGCGTCAAGGATCGGGCCCCTAGGGGCATGTCAATAAGCCATCATGGACAGAAGAATGCTACAGAAAGGAGCTACACCATTACACAGCAATGATCTCTGCAGCATTCCGATGCCACGTACCACTGAAGGATCTACATGAGCAGGCCAACGAAACCCCCCCCAAAAAGTTTGTATCTCAGGGTTTTTTTTTTAAATAAGGAGGCAAAGGGGTGCTTCAAGGGTGGTGGAGGCAGGAAACATGGAAAGAGGGAAACACTAAAATAAAATCACTTTGTATCCTCCAAACCCTAAGTCTGCACATGATACAGAGAAAGGCAAACACCCTTAGAAAGTTTGGTCCAATTTACTCTAACTGTGCAAAAGTTAGGTTTAAAAAAATTGCATTCTTTTTTGCCCAGTCCGTTCAATAACAATTTAACAACTTAACGCATACTTTGCACTAAGTTCCCATTTCCTGTAATATAGAGAATATATTTGTATATATAAACAAACATAATTTGAAAATCTATTGATGAACTACTTAAATTATATCTAAACCCGATGATACCGAGGAATTTTAAGGGGGACCCCAACGCCCAAAAAACAAACAAAAAAAGTGGGGTCCCCCCTAAAACTTTAAGCCAGACCCCTAATCCGAGCACTGGCCTGGTATGGTACAGGGGGGTGCTCGCTCGTCCTCCCCTTTACTGTTCTGCCAAGCGAGTGCTCAGATTAAAGGTCTGGTATGAATTTGTAGGGGAAACCCAAGCATGTTTTTTTTTACATTGGGGTCCCCCTTAACATTCCTACCAGACCTAAAGGGTCTAGTAAGAATTGGGTGGGGACCCCATGCCATTTTTTTTTATATTGACATACCTCAGAGGTAGCAAACAGAATGACTGAGCCAAATGCTGCTCGGCTGCATTCGGCTATTCACTCCCTGCTGTTAGGCACTTTTGAGAATAGGAGTGAACAGTAGAAAAGGAACTGCCAAACGTTCGCCTCAGCCCATGCAGATGTTGCATCAGCTGAGGCGACCGGGTTCTTCCCTTCAGTTCAGTCAAACGTAATGAGGCTGTTTGGCTGAACAGAAGGGAGATTAAGTGAGCCGAATGCAGCCGATGTACTGCTAAAAATACCTGTACAGGGCTGCAGTAAATAGCCGAAGAGGCTTCGGCTCACTTCATTTCAGTCTGGTCATTCATTTGGCTGCCTTTGGCAGCTTATTGAATAACCTCCTATATATATTTTCTGAAAGCAGAGACCCTGGAGAAAATAAAATGCTGGTAGTTGCATATATTAGCACAATGGTTTTTCAACCCCATATTTGCAGTCAAAAAAAGTGCTAAAATGTATTATGGTGAAAACAAACACACTATATTAACCATTCTTGGGTAACATATAAAGTTGAGGTTGTGTTCAGAAAATAGATAACAAACATTTTAAGGCCTAAAATTGCCCACGCCCATGAAACAGTGACAAACTATGGTACCAAAAATTGTCCAAAAGCGATACTTTAAAAGCCTTTGGATGTCATCAGTTTAGAGTTAACCATAATTATTGGGCCTAGAATTATTGCTCTTACTCTGACATGCACAGAGCTATTTAATATGTGTGATGCAATAATCGTTTTTGTACGTAGGAGCACCCGACACACGCTTTTACATTATGTGCGTGTATGTGGGTGTGTAGGGCCTTTAAAACATTTTTGCTTTTTTTAAATTGCTTTTATTTAACTTTAATTTTTAAACCTTTTCTTTTTTAATTAATTGTATTACTATCACTTGGGGTGTGACAGGCTTTTGTCACTAATGACATGACATGTAACTAATGTCACCTCTGTGCTCCATTGAAGCTAATCAAGCACAGATCGAAAAACTGATACAGCCACCGCATTGGTAGCTGATTGGTAACCTGAAACATATTACATTTTTGGTTTTGGTTTTATATATGATTTAACTGATCAAATGGATATTACCTTACGAGTGAATTTTTCTCTTGTGTCCTTTTCTTCTTTGCTTGGTGATTTGTACGGAGAAGACATTTGTCGAAGGATTTCTTTTTTATTTGCAGGTATTGCTTCTTGATCTTCGCTGACAAGTTTGAACTTCCTCCAGTCTTGTATGACACCCTTAGGCCCTTTGTGAAGGAGCAATAAAGAATATTCTTAAAAAATGTAACAGTTTACATTGAATTTTGACTGCAGATACCCCACCCCCCAAACAAGGTATACTAACTGATCCTTGCTGCCTTACTACCTCGCCCACTGCAGAAGCCCACCCTGCAGTTAAGCTCCATTGTTGGAAATGTCAGAGCTCACTGTGGTGGATTATGTCACTGTCCCTCCCCACAGTATAGTTTTTGGGCCTGGTGATTAGTTGCTCATGTCAGAGCACTGCCACGCAGGGTTTAATATGCTCCCCTATGTCCAGAAGCCCCACTCCATAACAGCAAAGGAGTGAGGGCTCCAATAGAGGATGTGGAGGCAATAAGAAAGCATTGATCAGTGAGTCTATCTTGCTGGACAGGTGCAGACACTGTCACTTTGTTGATAGTCAAGAAAAGTGAATTGATTTTGTAGAGAAGAGTCAAGAGTAATAATCTATCTGTTTCTCAATCCAGGTTCTTCCAAGATTTACAGTATTTTTATTTTTTTTTACACCCTGTAAAGCACATATGCCTTTATCAGTGAGTGAAGAACATAAAGAAGAATGTGTTCATAAGTTCATAATTTTTGCCTTTCAGTGCTGCCAATCTCTTGCTGCCACCTAACAGCCACCTCTTGTCTACATGCATGCAACACAGTGCTGACTGCTTGTTATTGTTCAGAGCTGTTTTTCTGATGGTGACAACAGTGGACGATACCTGTGTAATGGGTGTTCAAACAGCTGCTGTATTCTTCCTTTGGAAACTTGTGCGGCAGTGTAACAATGCAGGAGCATAGTTCGGAGACAGGGACACAGCATTCTCACCCAATAACATGAAGTGTCTGAACAAAGACCTTTACGGCAGAATTGCCAGGTATTCTTTTAATTTAAAGCTGCTGATTAAAAAATACTGAAATATGAAAATGACTTTTAGAATTGTATTAACATATTAATGCTTTTATGAGACTTGCAAATCATTGCATTCTGTTTTTATGTAGATTTTACACAGCAGCCCAACTTTTTGGGAATTGGGGTAGTAATTCAACTGCATGTATGTATGTATCTATTGATTGGTTTTTATATGCAATTTCCACTAAAGGTTACCTCTAATTGTTTGTTTCAAATGAATAGGTTTGTGATTGGTTTACTTGTTCACACTATGACCATTGAGCTACGTTTTTCTGCACGCCACCACATGTATGGTACTATGCCACATAAAAAACAATGGGCTAAAAATAATTTATTGCAGGAATTGGACCAAAAAGCTAATGGGCTGTAGTCACTGTTTGGGTATTCTGACAGCAGAACACCCACCACTGTCAGAATATCATTGTCTGGTGGTGGTACTACCCATTCATGCTGTTTAGTGTGGAAGAATGCAAATTGTATGGCCAGCTTTGCACACTGCATTTAAATTTGTTTTCATATAACAAACGTTTTCCTTTAGATTTAATAAAAATATAATATTTCTGATCTACATTACAAAAGCTTTCCTTCTGCTGTACACTCACTTGGCTGATAACATGTAGGTGCCCTTGATTTCTCACTTTCTGCCTACTGCCTTTTCAAGGTTCAGTAGGTCAATTTATTAAGCAGCAGTGGCAATGTACTGTGGCATTGAAAGCAGAAAGAAAATAGGTAATACCGCAATAAACAGCAAAGGTCAGCCTCCCAGAGCAGAATCTTTCCTGTCTCCTTCACATCCTTGTCAGAGAAGTTCTCTCTTCACAACAACAACAACTTCTGCTTCTCCTTCTCTTTATTACACACATAAAGTGAAGCGTTGCTGTACAATTTTGTGACTGTTTAGAGTGGGTGGTTAAAACCACACAGTAGGCGAGTTGTTATCTTGCTCACAGTGTCAGACTGCCCCTCTACCTCCTACAATCTGAACAATGTGGTCTAGGATGATGGCAAATATGTTGTAGCTGTACTGTACTTGGGTCACATTGTCAGGATCTGGATCTGAACCCAGGGCCTCTATGCTGTATCTGGCAGTGATTCTACCTGCAGAGCCACTTTGGATAGCGCCTTGCCTGATCTCCTGTGCAGTCCTCAGTTGAATCTAGTTTTTTGCTGAACTCTGAGCTCTTGCAATACTAACCTATAGCTGAATACTCATACTGTACATCTCGAGCTCTCAACTGCATTCACATTACATAGCTCCTACTGTAATGGGGTTACTTTCTTAAAGAGTGGCTACACTAGTGTAGAAGAAGATTTCACTCAGTTAGATAACAAACATTCCTATATCACAAGTTTCAGAAGGCTAATAACACACATTAGACCTCTTAGGGGAAAGACACAACATGGATCTGTCATATTTGTGTCTAATATATCGTAATTTCCATCTGCTAAAGGATATGCTGGTTTCCTCCGCCCACCTTTTAGACCCATTGATAGGGTGCAACTATCTCTGCAATACCTTCTACAAGTACAAGAAAAGGTGGCTACATCAGCAGCTGTGAGCTTTGGTGTTGCCATTGCAACATCATATTGTACTTAAACCTTAAAGTAATCCAATCTCTGCACAGTACTGAGAGCACATTTGTTTTACCTTTAAACCTCTTTATTTCACTTTTGCTTATGTCTGCTTTGTAATCAGAATTGCAACAGCGGATGCTGTGAACGGTGCATGTTTCCATTAAAACACCTGGTGGAGGCGACAGTGTGTGTGTAAGGGTTACATGCTCAGTTCAATAAATAAGAATGTCCCTAGCACATCTTATCATAGAATAGCCATAAGGATATCATAGAAAAATTGTGAGGTGCTGTTCAAGCCCATAACTGGGGTATAATCCTAGAAAAATCCTATATACACTAAAAACAAAAAATGCTGAACAGGGTTAGTACATCTGAAATGTTATGCATAGTTAACATGAATAATGTGCATAGTGCACTCAACTTAGCATGCAGTCTGGAAAGGATGCACTTTGCACTTCATTCAAATTAAATCTACATAAAATTTCAGGTGTGCTGGCCCTGTTGGTCTTTTTTGCATTTTAGGTAACTGCTCAGCTGACCTGCCCCAGTGAGGCTCACTCTCAGTCTCCTGGTTGCCCTGCAAACTGGAAAATCTCTGTGCAGGGTGAGGCTGACAATATATTAATAAACAATGTAAAAAAAAGGTTTTTTCATACAGTAAATACTTTACACCAGGGAGAAGTTTTTTTAAATAGCTTCAAGAGCAGCATTGAAAATACACAAATGCCTCAAATAACCTTATTGGGAGATGCATAAAGCTGTATGTGGTGTTACAGAACAGTAAGATTTTCATGGACAGTCTTGGGTGACACTGGCAGCGTATATTTGGCTGTGTAATTGTTTTTTCTCTTTTACAATTAGCTTGGCTTACATACAGCAGCAGCTGCCCAATCTGATTCATTTAATTTTTTTAAAGGATTTTTTTCAGGTAACTTAAGCAGCGACACATACTTGTTCATCAAATGATAATAGACCCGCTTTGACATACAGAAATTGTTAATACAGCAGTGTAAAATTAGCCAGTAGAAGGACAGTTTTAATCATGGATAACAGGCCAAAATGTACTGGAGACAAGGAGTTCAGGCAGGTGTTTTACAACAAGAAACCCCAGTAAATACAGTAATGTTAAATGGTCTGCAGCAGGACAATTGTAATGAGTAAGGCTAGGCACATATTTACTAGAAACAAAGAGCAGAGGCTGAGATTTAATTGCAAGAATTAAAACACAGCAGAGGATACAGCAGTGTAAAATTAGCCAGCAGCACAACAGGTTTAATAGGGGATGGTAGTTCTAACGGGTGACTGAGATATTTTTTTACCTATGGGGATGGAGGGAGAATGCATTGAATGTAAGTGATATAATGTGGTTAAGATTAAGGATGGGCTGCATGTTCGAGTCGAACTTAGGTTCGACTCGCACACAGCATGTTCTAGCGTTCGCTGAACGCCGAACATTACGAGATGTCCGCGGTCTGTTCGACCGCGGCACATCCCACAATGCACTGCGCCGTCCGGCCAACGGTCATTGGCTACAGTCTTGCACCTGACCGCAGGTCAGGTGCCAGACTGTGCCAATCAGGGCTCAGTACGAATATACTGTCTCACAGCTAAGTCCCTGCAGCACACTATATAAGGCTGCTGACACTGCGGCCCTATGTAGTATGTTGTAGGAGATAGAGAGAGAGGGTTCTAGTATAGTTAGTTACAGCAGATTGATAGAGAGTTATAGATAGTTATAATAGACTTCTGTATATATATATATATATATATATATATGTTTCCTGGCACATCATGGCAGCACACAATGGGTTAACGCTCCACCCCTTAAACCCATAGGACAAGCCCTCTATAAGTTTTGCCCCCTGTGGCTTGGACCCCATTATTTTTGTCCTCGCCATGCAAGCTCTCAGGATGGATTTATTTTTACTTTTTTCCCTTACCGGCCGTTCTCCTGCGGTGTTGCCACATAGGGTTAAGCCTCCCTGTGTTGAAGTCCCCGCTCTTCATCCTTTAAACAAGGCATGCCACGGGGAGTCCCGTTGTCAGTGCTGGGACCAGTCGCTCAGGGTTGCAAAGCTCCCTTGTGTGCCTTCAATGTGTCAGCCTGCTCCATCGGCGTCGGTATGCAGCCTCGGCGGCGTCTCCGGCTCGCCCGTCCGCCATGGGCTTCTCTTCCATGGCGGATGGGGACAAAATCTCACCAAAGATGGCGGCCGCGGGGGTATCGCGCATGCGCGGTATCGCCGATGGCCGCGGTTTCTATTTAAACCTGCAGCGGCTGTCAGTACACGCTGAACAGCTTTACCGACTTCATTAGCCGCTCGTCCACGCTACAGGTACGGGGCAAAGATGGGGTTCTGCAGGGGATTTCAAACTGGCTAAGGAGGTTCTCCTTTCCTTCCCCCCTGCCCTTCCCCCACCCCCCTTT